GGGAAAGAGAGAAATCGCTTTCAACTAAGTTGGTTATTGCACCATTACTGCTTTTCGATCAATATTACCCTGCTGACCGTTGCCCAGAAGGGGCTTGGTTGCTAGCGTGGTTTTTGGCAGCGATGCCGTGTGCTGCCTGTCTGACGGGCTGCTCCCACCACGCTCTGCAGCTTGCAGGTAGTCCCAAATATAGCCCATGGGGGATACAAAATGGTGATCTAGTCTCAAGAGTGGCAAAAGCATATCTATCCTCGATAAAACTCATCCAGGAGAAATACGACGTTGGGAAGAGGAAACGGATGCGTTGGCCATGGCTGCATTCCTGAGTGGGTCTGAGTCATGAGATACCCAACTGCATCAGCTTTCTGTCAACACTGCAGCTGGGCTGAGTGATTGAGGCCCAGCCAGATAGTCTTCCTGCCAAATTTTTGTGGACAGAATCAGATGTGATAGCTTGTAAAGCTGCACATTTCTCATCGGCATCCTGAAGGCAGGTTTTCTTGTGTCCCTGCAGTGATGACCCAGCAGCTTCCTTGGCTGGGAATGAGGGGGGATCAACTAGGTCTTGAGAGAGCTCTGAGGATTTTAATGACAGAAAATTGTCTGCCTTAGAAATTGCTGCAGTTGTGGGGAAAGAGACGTGCTGAAGCTACTCCAGTCGTATTTGGAGGTTTCCCACACTTTATTTGTGATTAACGTAGCAACAACTAGTGTGGAGTGCCCAATAGGGTATAGAGTCAAATAATCCCAGAAATACACAGGGTGATAGGTTAACATGCACAGCGTTGATTTTGTCCTTATAGGCTCTTGATTGAGGCCATCAAAGGAGATACTGCGCCACACGGCAGTGGTGGTTATCGGTGCTGGGCTGGCACACCTCTGGTGTCAGCTCATGCTCTCTACCATCAGAGATAACTGTGAAAATACTCCCTTAACTTCTGTTGCTGTTCCAAGTTTGGTACATAATTCCAAATCCCTTCAAAAACCTTTCTTCCCCCTGCCCCCAAGTAAAGTTTGGGTAAATGGCTATTTTTGCTAGACTCTCTGGGTAGGGTGCTGTAGGATTTCCAGCAGAAACGTGGAATACGTCGAACTGGGTTTGAGTATTACTGTTACGTATCTGCAGCACCATATTGCAGTTCAGTTTGTTTTGGGAAACGCTGTATTTGTACTTTTAAGAAGGGCTTTGACATAGTAGACATAATTATTTTCATGTAAATGAACTAGTGATGCTAGTTTGTAGGGTGTGTAGGGAGGATTCGTAAAGAAAAGTAAAATTTTCCCTGCATTGTAGTGGTGATTATATTTATTTTATTTATTTAAAACAAGTTTAACACCCAAGAGAAATAATATCATCAAGCCTCACCTCTTGTGTATCAAAGGCTGCACAGTTTCTCCCAGTTCTCCCTGTGTAGAGCCAAATCTCTTGTGTTTGGCTCAAGTGTGTTTTATGGAAAGAAGTTGTCTGAAATTGGAGACAATGAAGGATTTTGAGTGGATGAGAATATAGTTAAGAATCAAACTTTGAAACTATGTGTATCTAATATACCTGCTGTGTATAACAAGACAAAAAATGACAAAAGGCGTTACTCATGAGAAAGTGGAGGGTGCATGCATGACAATGTTGGTGGTGGTACTTGAGCAATTAATTCAGCAATTAACCTTAACTGAAAGTACCTGTGCTGCCCCTGAGGTATTTGTAGTAATAATCCTGCGATACACAGCGCCGGTCTCTGTGATACTAGTCTGTACATGAACACATTTTTGTTCACTGCTTCTGCGTTAAAGATCTCAAAATCCACATTTTTGAGATGATGTCCTAAATGTCTTGTCTGGACATTGAGTTTCTGTGAACCTTTTAAAGGAACTGTCCCAAGGCTTGGTATTACCTGCTGAATCTCGTGGTAAATCTGAAGATGAATACATTTGTCCCCGTGAATCACATTACTCCGAGGGTAGCAGAACTGGATTAGTGCTGAATGTGTAACATTTTCTGACCTGTTAGGCTTGATACCACACTGGGCTAGGTACGAGTATGAGAGATGTAGAAAGAAGCATGTAAAACATTTCCTGGCACAGTGTTCTTTGAGAAATTATGTCACAGACTTCTGCACATTGACTTGCTGATGCCTCTTATGAGTCATATGCATTTCTGCTTCTGCTCTTCATGTCTGTAACCACATCTATCTATATATACATTGTCTTTTTAGGGCAGCATTATGAGAATCGGCAATGATCTAATGCACAAGCTCTCTAGAAAATATTATAAATTCTCCTAGGTTTTTGTTGTTTGCTTTTTTTTTTCTTTTTTTTTTTTTCCACTCCTCCGTGAATGACATCTTGACAGGCTGAGCCAGAATCCCTTTCTTACCCTGCAGGTATAGAAGGATAAAATACATTAACGTGTTACAGTCCTGTGATTGTGCTGCTCTGCCTGGGATTCCTTGGATATGCTTCAGCCTCTGTTTTGTTTTGTGAAATATGGGTTAGAGAGCTGATTTCAAGAAGGATGTTTCTGAGCTAATATGAATATAGATGGTTTGGAATACATTCAGTAAATGACAAATCCAGTAAAAGACCATGACTGCATGTTCTCTTTTTTTCGGCATTCACAGTCGTTCCCTGTGTTTAATCGCAGACCTCAAAAGAGGACCTTCTACAAGCTGATTTTGAAGGAGCTTTAAAATTCTTCAGGGTTCAGTTGCCCAAGAGGTACAGAGCTGAAGAGAACGCCAGAAGACTGATGGAACAAGCTTGCAACATTAAGGTAAGGATGGTCTTCATTTCTTCTCATTCACCCAGGGTTTTTACAGGAAAAGTGAGGTGCGACGTTAAGAATGGCAGTAGCGTGTGGGAAGCAAAGTAATGAAATCGTTAGTTTATACCTTTTTCATATGTTTGTATGTTATACACACACATGCATGCACACTTTCAATATTTAAAGAAGGTAAAGCTCTGAGCCTTTCTCTCTTTGCTTTAGTATGAGCTAATAATTAAAAGAGAAAACCTATGCATGATCAAACTGAATAATCAGAACTTGCTAATTCGTTAATTGATGTATAAACAGTGATGACACTAAATCGATTAAATGCATGGATGATAATGATGCAACCAAAGGTCAGGTATTATTTGTTTTGACCAGAAGATACTCGTTTGCTGAGCACTGTGGTATAATACATTTGTATTGGGGTAGAAATCTAGTTTTGTTTGTATATCAAGCTTACCAAGACAGAATATCTTTTTTTATTCTACCTTACCTGAGACCCTGCTGTCAAAAGGCAGGCTTCTTTGAATGTCTGGAGCACAAATATTTGGCTTGTAATGAATGATAACAAGTTAGAGGAGCCTGACTGTAAATTTTTGAGGATGGCAGTTAAAAATGGCCGTAGAGGTTCATAAAGTTGTCCTTAAAAAGATCTGATATTTTTTCTTTTTTGTTTGTTTGTTGGAATATGTATAGCTATGGATGGGCTTAACATTTGATCTTGAAAAAAAGTGCTTGTGTTATTTCTGGGAGTGGGAACACTGATGGGAAATGTGTGTTTGGTGTGGCCCATAATGGGCTGAGAACATCCCATCAGAAAGAATGCTCCTCTAATACTCTATCTTTTTTGTATCTCTCTCAATATATTGATTAATCTACTTGTGTGCTGCTTAATTTCATAGTTTATCAAGCAAAGGCTTTTTCCATACTAGCTAAAGCTCTGATCTTGTGAAAGAGTGGGGCTTGCTGTACTAAGGTTTATTACAGACAGAAAAAAGATCTGTGCAAAGGTTTTATTAAAATTGGACTTGAGATTTGAGCTCTGCCACTGGGAGAGAGTATTTGGGACTAAAAGACTACAGTTTGATTTTTAGTGTTTAGTCCTTTGCTCAGTTCTTGAAAATGAGTAATTTATGGGCTTACCAAGTACAATAAATTTATTTTTCTATTGTTTACATAGTGTTTATTTTTCTGAATATTAAAATAGAAATCTTCATGGTACTTTTTGGAAGAGATATTTGTTGGTTTTCATGGGCCTACCTTTCTCATTCTCTTGTGCAATATATTGTGTGCCACATGATGATATTGTTCGTTAATTTCTCAGTTTGTATTGGGTACATATGTATATGAGTGCTTCGTTGGGAAAGTATTTGCAATGCGTTTAAGGCGGGTGATCAGTGCATAGGGCTTTGCATGGGTTCTGCATGTGGGGCCTTTTAAAAGCAGAGAATAAACCTCTGAACTGTTCATCGACATGAATAGGAAGGTGGCTGAAGGATTTGACAGTGAATCCACTATATATGCGGGATTTTGCACATTCTGGATTCCAGTGTGTAAGAGAAGAGCACAGATGAGTACAGCAGACATGGAGTCAAGGCGCTCTCCTACATGTTACAGAATTACACGAGGATTAGCAGGAATTTTGGAATGGAGGGAGATTTCAGGGTCTAGACCTGGGGTTATCAGGGATGGGAAAAAAGAAGATTCAAGCTACCTTCTCCTGTGTTAGTAACACTCCACCCTTGTAAGGAGTATAGTTGAGTTGGGTTCTGCTAACTCAGTGGGCGTGCGGCGCGTTCCTCATTCAGATATAAGACACAGGAGGGGATCTAAGCTATGCCCTGAATGGTCTTTGGATAGTTAAGCTAGGAACAACTGAGCCCATGGAGAGGAGTGCTCTGGAACTCAGAGCCTTCTGGTGCGGGTTGTTGTCAGGATGAATGGCATCGTCAGGAAAGCTGATGTAAGCAGGGAAGATTCTGAGCATAGGCAGTGTATTTAGAACAGGGGAAATGCGAAAGACTTCAGGAACTTCATGTGAGGAAACTCCGTGCGAGACCTTGTTGGAGGGGAGGGAGACATCTACTTGAAATGGATCTCTGTTCACTCACGTGCACTCCTGTCGTAGATGCCGCTCATACTGATGGCCACGTGCTCGCCAACACCAAGCTGCTGTCCAGCCAGGATCGCGTGTGTGCGATGAGGATGGGGGACAGTGGCTGTAAAGTCCTTACGATGTCTCTTGGGTTCCTCTTGATCAATGATAATAAACTGGCTTTTAAACAAAATTTTCTGTACACTCTAGGAGTCAAACAGTTCTCATGGTGTGATCTTTTCCCTCAGAAGCTTGCTGCCCTCTGTTTCCTCATGGCGTGTGGCTTTGCGGCTCCCAGCCTGTTTTGCTGTTGGCTGAGGTGATGGACTGTTGCTCTGCTGAGGGTCTCTGAGTTGCTGGTCACCTCTCGTGCGGCCTCACCAGTGCGCCGGCCTTCTGGTCTGCATGCAGCAAGAGATTTTGCATCGCTTGCCAGTTTGGTTGCTGTCACTTGTGTCCTTGCTTGTCAATTCGTGATGTTCTCGTAACCCATTCTCTGTATTGTGTCATCTGGTGCTTCTGCGTGTGGACACTTCCAGTCATCTTTCTTTCAGACCAGTCTGAGTATTTCTGTTACACATCTACTGAGTGATTATGGGATGCTCTGACTCTGTTGACTCAGTGTCCCATGTTAAATTAAAACACATGAGGGTTGAACTGTCTTCACATTCACAATTTTTATTTATTTGGATCAACTTCTCTCACTTTTGCCAACTAGAACATCCTTAGAGAGCCAAATCTGAAGCACAGGAAGGTAACCTCTGGCTGGAGATGGCATGTTAACTGTTTGATAGGCAGAAAAGAAAATAGGTTTGTCATGAAGAAGGTGATCAGGAGCCATCAACATGGTTTCATGAAGGGTAAATCATGCTTAACCAACCTGATAGCCTTCCATGATGAAATGACTGCCTTGGTAGGTGAGATGAGAGCTGAGGATGTTGTTTATCTCAAGTACAGCGAGTATAGACACTCTCCCATAACATCCTTATAGACAAACTGATGACTAGGTAAGTGGACAGTGCAGTGGATTGAAATCTGTCTGAATTGTTGGGTTCAAAGGGTTGTGATCAGCAGCAGGATGTCCAGCTGGAGGCCAGTCAATAGTGTCGTACCTCCAAGGTTGAGACTGGGACCAATTCTACTTAGCCTCCTCTTTAATGACCAGAATGATGGGGCAGAGAGCACCTTCAGCAAGTCCACAGATGACACAAAGCTGGGAGGAGTGCCTGATGGACCAGATGGGTGTGCTGCCGTCCAGAGGGACCTTGACAG